AACGTTTTGTTTTAGAATCAGTATGTCGACAACCATGTAATGGCCTACTTCCTATGGAACGACCTCCCACCAATATGGAATCAATAATGTTTTCATACCACAACACCGCCATTTTATCAAATTTGTTTATTGGGAATATGAGAACATATCTTGGGGTAATATGTTTACCTGCAACATTTGGTCTACGATACCATTTTACAATTTTTACGACCATACCCTTTTTGTCAAGACCCATCGTGAATCATTCCTATTATACGACTTCTTTGAAAGTTGGTTAGAGCTTAATATTTTTCGATTAATGGATTTCCAATATATTTTCTGAATTCATTTAGATTAAAAAATGTAATTTGTTGTCGTGTTCATGCATTAAAAATTCATCCATGTATGAAACCACCTCTAAATGCGTTACTTAGTAAACTTTATGGGTTTTACTATATGCTTTATGGTCTGAAATTAAATTTTTTCAAAAAAGATTTGTTTAAAAATTGATCTGAACTAACTGAATATTGATCACGATGTTTAATAACTACAATTTGGCTTAGTTTCACTAATTTGGGACGCTCTAATCCGATTAATTTTAAAAAAATGATAAGCGCTTTTCATATTTGATTAAAATTTTTATTTTTTATAAGAAATTTTAAAACATTTGACTTCCTAAAGTATTCAAAAAATCTTTTAATGAAATTAGCATGAGATTTTTCATATTTTTTTTCGCGATATTTTCATAATTTTCAAGATATTTGAACAGATTTTATTTTTGTCAATTCTGACATTTTCTTTCAGGATTTTAAATGAAATAATTGTGAACTGAGCTTAAAATTACTTAAAATCATCTAAATATAACACTTGTATATTATATTTTTAATATTTACTACGAATAATGGAAATTAATCTAACTTAGGTTATATAATATACGGTACTCCTATTTTTTTGAGCAGCCGAAATCTGATATGGATTTCGAAAAAAGTGAATACCAAAAAAACTAATGAACCTATATAAAAAATTTCATTCGTTTTATATTTTAAAGACTTAACAAACAAATATCGTGAAAAAATGTTGGATTTCTGTAAATTTTTTTTTTAATTAAGCTGCAAATTATTTTTAAGTCTCACTCCTATTTTTTTGAACACAGCTGTATATTAACCAATAATGCACATAATTTTTTTTGTAAAAAAATTAAATAAAATATTTTATATTTTTTTCTTAACTAAAATGATGGCAACACTATTGAACCAGTTTACATGCAAAAAATCTCTTCTTTACTCATACTCCATTATTGTTTTCAATATCATCGATAATCAAAAAATAAATCCCCTTATTTGAAATCAAAACGAAAAAATAGCCCCTAACAGTTATGTTTAATAACAAAAAGTTATTCCCTTTACAAAAAATATATATGTACATATGTATGTATGTATCATATACTCAAAACTAAACAAAATTATTACGTTCATATAGGACTCGATGTGATAATGAATATGCCTGACCATGACGTCAAAGTGTTTATCAATAATTTTTTTTAAAAACGGTTTTATTTGTATTATTTTTGCAAAAAAGTTTTTGAATTACATTTCATTATGATGTATCATGTACTCAGCACTTAATTATTCAGTATTTTGTTTATCTGCTACAAAGTTTGGCTTTTCCAATATACACACATAGTACCTACATAAATATAAATATTACGAGTATTTTTATGTATGTATGTAATATTTCCAAGCTTTGACTTCGGTTCAACAAAGAGTTGGTTGTTTTTGTTCTTCTATGATATTTTTTCACACGTGATTATAATTTTAAATTATCTGCTGGTGTTTTTGTTGTCTTTATTCATACGTACAATGTTCTTTAGTGACATATTTTAAAAATAGATTTAAAAATAATTAAACCGGTTCCTTATTCTGTGGGTAAAACCAATTTATTTTATAGTTCAATAGTACATACCGTCATATGAAATCCAAACAGCCCTAAGTTATATTGAACAAATTTTTCAGGAGAAGCAAAAAACCTTCTAAAATGATAAATAAAACAAAAATGTTCAACATTTTCTCTTGAAGAAAAATTTGCGGTTTTCGTTTTACTTACGGAGATATGAAACTTACGCGCTTGAGAATTAGTTTTTTCTGAAAACCAAAAGGGCGTAAGTTACATTGCTAAATTCGGCTGAGCCGAATCTTAAATACCCTCCACCAGCTACTTTTATATTAAGACTTTTCTAATTGGTCAAATATTTGTAGAAATAAGTTATCTCATGTCTTAAATAGAAAAATCCCAAGATTTAAACAGCTTAAATCTATTACAATTCCAAGATTTATTGAACATTACAAACGCAATTTTCTTTAAATTTTTATAGCGCTTAGCGATATTTAGTAATTTGCATGTATGCATGTGTGTGAAAAATTAAAGGATTTTCAAAATACATATATATAATCTACACTAATTGATAATGCAAGTAGTTAAATACGGTTAAAGTGCTTTCAGGGGCTGGACCTAGATATGACCAATTATAGTCCGATCGTAAAAAAATTTTTAAGCTAAATTTCTGTACATAAAAGCTATATTTCAGTAAAATTTTATATCTATATCGTAATTTAGTAATAAGTAATGTGTGTTTAAGTGATTTTCGGAAGGGAACCTTGTATGGGACCGACCGCACCCATGTTGTGAGCCGATCGTGAAAAATCTTGAAATAGAATTTTTGTATACAAAACTAATGTTTGTGGCAAATTTTGTATCAATAGCTTTATTTGGTAATGAGTAATGTGCGTTTAAGACATTTTCGTAAAAGGACCTTATATGGGAGCTATGACGAATTATGTATATAAAGACAAAATTTCAAAATTCTGTATCTATATCATTATTTGGTAATGAATATTGTGCATTTTAGTGATTTTCTGAAGGGGACCTAGTATGAGAGCTATGACCAAATATGGACCGATCGTAAAACAATTTTATAGTGTAATTTATGTATATAAGAACAATAATTTTGCTAAATGTATGGATATCAATATTTGGTAATGAATTATGTGCGTTTAAGTGATTTTCGGGAGGGAACCTTGTATGGAAGCTATGACCAAGGTTGGACTAATCGTGAAAAAATTTTGAAATAACATTTATGTGTACAAAAATAGTATTAATGCCAAATATTTTATGGGTATCACTATTTGGTAATGAGTTATGTGCCTTTAAGTGTTTTCTGAAAGGCACCTTGTATAGCAGCTATGATCAATTATGGACCGATAGGAAAACAATTTCACAGTAATATTTCTCTATATATGAGCAATACTTCTGCCAAACTTTATATTTAGTAATGAGTTATGCGCGTTTAAGTGATTTTCGGGAGGGGACCTTGTATGGGAGCTATGACCAATTATGGACCGATCGGAAAAATATGTACTTTTGTATGGGAGGTATATGAAATTGTGGACCGATTCTGGCAATTTTCTGCAGGGATCAAGATCTTGTATAGAAACGAATGTAACGAATGAAAATTACATTAGAATATGTAAAAAATGCTTATTTTTTCGAGGTTGTTTTAAATTTTGATTCATAACTTTTCCCGATGTGAACCGATTTAGCTCATTTTCAATACCAAACTGTACCGGATAATAATGAATATTTTGGGTGAATTTGGTTAAATTATATTGCTTCGTTTTAACGTGAGCGTGTTTTACACAGACAGACAGACGGACGAACAGACGGACATAACTAAATCGACTCAGAATTTCATAAGGACCCAGAATATATATACTTTGTTGGGTCTCAGATGAATATTTCTTGGTGTTACACACGGAATGACAAAGTTATATATACCCTCTATCACCACTGATGGTGGTGGAGGCTATAAAAATAGTAAGGTTCAACATTTTTAACTAAATTTCAATCGGTTTTTTTTGGTCAAATAAGCCGAAACATGGAAGGCATAAGGCTTCTTTGTTTTCGTAAAGATTTTCGAAAATAGGAATTTTTCTTTGAAAAAATCTCTAAATCGCAAGGATTCGCTAAAGGTGTCATTTTTGTTTTATTTAATGCCAACTTACAACATTTTACAATTTCGAAGTTAAAAATTCAAAAGAATTTTAAAATTTTTATGAATTTTAAGGTAATTTTAGAACAATATCTTTTAGAATTTCTTTGATAGGGACGTTGATTTTAATTGTAGGAGTGTAAAATTTAGCAGGAACATGTATTTTGATACGGTGTATCATAATCAATCAAAAAGTCGATTTTGATCTTTTTGTAACTTAGGGCCTTTTGGATTTCATATGACGATACTATCTATTGGCAGATATTATCAGTCGATCGATTTATTTATTGAGTGTTTATAAGTTTATCAATCTTTACATTTATAAATTCGTAAATGAAGTTGCAACAGTGTTGCACAAAGCAATGAAGAACTAGAATGAAACTTAAACTGAACTAAAACTGATTGAACTAGCACTGAACTAGAACTGAATTAGAACTGAACTAGAATTGATTAAACTATGTAGAACTGAACTACAACTGTACTAGTATTGAACTAGAACTGAACTTAAACTGAACTGGAACTGACTAGATAGGTATGTAATTTGACATTCATTTAAAATCTTTACTTATGGTAAAGTTAACCATGCATTTTCGTTGAAATTACAAGTATAAATTCTACAATATATCCGCCACTTTAAAGTCTGCCGAATAGTTTATTTTGGAGGAATTTTTTGGTAAAAAAATTTAATAAAATATTTCATATTTTTTCTTAACTAAAATATAATAAATTATATAAAATTATATACTGAATTAGACCTAAGCTAGAACTGAATAATACACCTTGGGATACACGATATCCTTTTGGAAATCTTAGTTCGTCATAGTTTTTTAAGTAATTTTAACGGTCTATTTTCATTCAACTCAACCTATAAAAATATATTTGAAATACCCAGTTCTTAAAAAATGCAACAGCTGTTTTATAAATAAAGAGTACGTTTAATACAAGTAAGAGTACGTTCAGTGTATCCAATAAGATCCTTTGTTTACACAAAAAATTTTGCTTAGATTGTGTTGTTCGATTTAGTTATTTTTTCTTTTCTTAATTTTGCATTAATTTATTTATGTAATTTTAAAATCTACATATTTGGCAAACAAATGATAAGAAAATAGAAAATATTTTTTTGGCTGAAAAGTTAACTTGTTGTGTATAGAGTGAGGGTGGGTGAGTTTGTGTGTTATGGCCAATAGGGATTTGGAAGTGCTCGAGTTAAAGCCACCAACAGCAAATTGCTTTACAATAACCAATTCAAATAATAATGAAATTACACGTTTAAGCATAACAGAATTATCTTACAATGATTTCTATTGGCAATATATGGAAAGAAATTATCCGGTAATATTAAGAGATGTATCGACACAATGGGAATGTCGGCTTAATTGGATTAAACCCCAAACACAAGACTTAACACTAACTGAAAATACCGATAATACATTTGTAAAGACTAGAGTAAACGGCAAAACTATTAATTATGACTACCTCAGGGAAAAAATAGGCAATTGTCAAGTACCCGTGGCTAATTGCAATATGGAATACTATAATAGCCATGCCAAGTGTGAAATGTTATTTTATGATTTTCTACGCTACTGGCAGAAAAAGCAAGAAGATTTGTTGGCTGCTGGAACAACGACGACAGATTTAAGTAATAATGATAATAAAACTATAACCACCGGAGATTTACTCTACCTCAAGGATTGGCATTTGAAGGCTCAAAATGCTGACTATGATTTTTATAAAGTTCCTAAATATTTTGCCTCCGATTGGTTAAATGAACATTTGGTGGCGACAAAAAGTGATGATTATCGTTTTGTTTATATGGGACCAAAAGATACCTGGTAATTGGGCAATTAAAGCATAACGAATATGATTTTAATTCAATTTAATTTTTTAGGACACCCTTTCATTCGGATGTTTTTGGCTCATTTAGCTGGTCTACTAATATAATGGGCATTAAGAAATGGCTTCTCCTGCCGCCCGGAGAAGAAATAAAACTCGGCGATAATTTGGGCAATTTACCATTTTGCATTAACGAAGAAATGTTGGATAAAAAATATATCAAATATTTTACTATAATGCAAAAGGAAAACGAATCTATATTTGTACCTAGTGGCTGGTATCATCAAGTATGGAATATAACCGATACCATATCCGTAAATCATAATTGGTTCAATGCCTGTAATCTTCAGCGTATTTGGTACAACCTCAACAATCAAATGGAAAAGGTTATTAAGGAAATTGACGATTGTCGACAAATGGACAATTTTATGGAACATTGTCAAACAATGCTGCGTGCTAGTTTCGGTCTTAACTACCTCGATTTTTTACAACTATTGGAATGTATAGCAAACAGACGTTTAAGACAATTCAATAACAATACTGCCTCCGCAATTCTATCACCGCCATCTCAAGGACTGTGTTCATTCGATTTAACAACATCTACCCCTCTTATATTTTTTGATCAATTTATACCCAACGAATATCATGTTCGTCATGATCTAGAGCGTATTTTACAAGTGATTGAATTAATGTTACAGGATTCAATTGTATGTGAAGATCGTACTGTTTTATATCGTAAATGTATACATTTAAGGGAATTATTATCAACAACGGCATTATCATTAAGTCTGAACGAAAAAATATCAACATCATCGTCATCATCATAGGGAATGCTTAGACTTAAGCTGATTTTATATTTTCCTTTTTTAATAATTAATTTATTTGGGAGGAAATTGAACTCATTGCTAAAAGTTTAATTAAATAATTTTGTGTGGCAATTATACAAAAATTATTTCTATGCCGAATAATAGTCAAAATCTAAATATAATTTGTTGTTATTTTGATTAGTTTTGCCTTAAATGTGCAATTATAACAAGTACTGCATAAGTCCACTTATTTTATTATGCTTTTAGCTTTGGGTTAAATTTTTAAGTTAAAAATAAGGTAAAAATAATATAATATTAATAAAAATTGAAATATTTTTATACCAACGAAATGTTTTTGTTCTATTCTTTACCCCAAGTCCACAATTTGTTTGGCATAAGTCTAAATTCAAATCTCAACTCAAAAGCAATTGCTATATTTGTTTATTTAAAGGTTAATTCCCCAAATAAAAACAAATTTATAGATTTAGTTCAACATTTCTAATTTTTATGTTTTCAACTAGACATTTTTAAAAAATGTACCTAAAAGGTACCGTTATAATAAATACAACTTGTTTTTTTAACGGTTCTTAAACTCGAAACGGTCATTATTATGATTTCTAATTGGCAACACTTGCTTTTATCTCTCTCTCTCCTCTAAATTACTGGTGTTTATTTACATGTTTGTTTTATTTTGCTACGCCATTCGTTAAGCTAAAAATTGTATAGAGATTACAAAAATAAATAAAAAAGAGACTATGAGCTTTGGAATAAAATGAAACTTATCAATAATTAAAAATCAAAGTTTAAAAAACCTAAAAAGCGATGTATTCTGCCGTAGAGAATACTACACAGCATATTAATTAGGCGAAAAAAAGAAATACTTTATCCAACATAACATGCCTTTGAAGGGGATAAAAGTTTTGGAATTTGCTGGTTTGGCACCAGCACCATTTTGTGGGAAAATTTTAGCTGATTTTGGTGCAAAGGTCACAGTTATAGATAGGGTAAGTAAAAATGCTTTATGCAGTATTTCTTTTGAAACCAAAATTACTCTTTTTTTTTGAAAACAGGTATTGGACAATCAATTCAATTGCTTGAATCGTGGCAAACATGTACTTGCTATAGATCTTAAAAAGCCACAGGGACAGACATTGGCTAGAGAATTGTGTAAAAAACAGGATGTACTAATTGAACCTTTTCGTCCTGGTGTTATGGAAAAAATGAACTTAGGACCTGAACTTTTATGTAAAGATAATCCACGACTTATTTACGCCCGTTTAACGGGTTTTGGTCAAAACGGCCGTTTGGCATTGCGTGCTGGTCATGATATTAATTATGCTGCCATATCGGGTGTTTTATCTATGTTGGGTCGCAGGGGTGAAAAACCTTTGCCACCAGTTAACATTTTAGCCGATTTTGCTGGTGGCGGTTTAATGTGTGCTTTTGGCATTTGTTTAGCTTTGCTCGAACGTCATCGTTCTGGACGTGGTCAGATTGTCGATTCTGCTATGGTGGATGGTGCTGCCTATGTAGCCAGTTGGTTGTATATGTCGCGTAATATACCGCCCATATGGGAGGGTGGAGAACGTGGCAATAATTGGCTAGATGGTGGCGCTTTCTACTATGACACCTACGAAACAAAAGATGGCAAATATATGTCGGTGGGAGCGTTAGAGCCACAATTTTTCGAACTTTTTAAACAACACTTAGGTCTACCCGAACTTTCACAGTTTGCTACGCAAGACAGTGAAAAAGAAGCAGCAAAGGCTGCCATCACCGCAGCATTTCTACAAAAGACTCAATCCGAATGGGCAGCCATATTTGAAGATATAGATGCTTGTGTGTATCCGATTTTAGACTGGCATGACGTTATGCAACATGATCATAACAATGAGCGTAATTCTTTTGTTAAATTAGAGGATAATACTATAGCACCACAACCGGCACCACGTCTTAGTCGTACTCCGGGTAAATTGAGTATGCGTTCAAGCAAATCACCGGAAGCTATAGAAGAAGCGGCTAATGTTTTGGGAGATTTAAAACTAAGTCCAGCTGCATTGGAAAAACTATTAAGAGACAAAGTTTTAATTTTACCAAATGCAACAGCGAAGTTGTGAATTTATTATTTAAGGGAAAAAGATATAACTTTTGATTAAAAAAAATGTAATTAAATAAATTTTTGATACGATTAATGAGAAATACTAATCTTTATAACAAGGCAATAATTTAGATTAGGATGTTTATTCTTACAAATATACATACATATACATAAATGCATATATAAAAAACGCATATATTTGGTATTATTCTCGCTAGTTTCATTCGTTATACGTACCCTTCTGGGATGTTTGTAGGTTTTTTGGAATTCATTTTCTTAAGACGCCCCACTCCAAATTTACAAAAATGTTCGAGACATATGCTCAGCAAAACGATCTAGAAATAATGGAGAGGAAATAAAAACTTTTGATTTATCCAGAATCTTTAATATATTTTGAATGCCGTGTTCAATGTGTAGTGGTAGTAGGAGACTGATGGTGTCTTTATAGTACTTTGCTCATGATGTTTCTGAACCTCCACCCGAAATTATTTGACAATTGACAAATTATTCGGAACAAATCAATGTAGATTTCTTAATATGCAAATGCTCAACACCACCTACGGAGATGCACGAATACAAACAAATACGGCCTCGCCTTAATGGACTTTATAATAGATAACAAACTTTTTATTGGTAACAACGGACAGGCACTTACTTTTGCAATATGAACTCGCAAGGAAGTACTGGAATTGACGCTTTTGACGTAAATCTCTTCTGGAAAATTGTCCCTGGAAAAGTCTCTAGGGAAATGAAAGATGCTCAAAGATGTGCTTCTTCTGGCATTGGCGCGACAATAACACACCAATTCTGTACGAAGCAGTGCTACTTGATCATGGTAGCTTCCATTACGATATAGAAAGGTCCTTCAGACTCCCTAAAGAATGTAGTGTCTTCCAAGCAGAGATCCTAGCGATATTGAAAACGAAGGCTCGGTTGGGCCAATTTATGTCGATAGTCAAGCTGCTCTTGTAGCGGTACATTTGCGCCTAGTTGTAGATTGTAGAAATGCTCTTAGTGTCATTATTAGACTTTTTACTATAAGACTGTTTTGGGTACCGGAGCACTGCAATGTGTATGGTAATGAAATTGCGAACTTGCTAGATTAGGTTTGAACTTTCTCATAGACGATAAGGAAAGAAAAGCGAAACCACCCTTCTGTCACTATTATAGGTTGATTTTAAAGAGAATCCGTGACATCATTAACAAGTCCTGGAATAGTAAAATGGATTGCAAATTATCAGGGGCGTTATGGCTAACACTTGATGTGAGGCCTACCAAGACACTTATAGGACTGAATATGCGTAGTCTAGGAATTCTGACTGGGATCTTAACGAGACATTGCTCAATTAGGGCCTTTGTCAGTAAGTGTGACATTAATTTACCGGACTATTGCGCGATATGCGACAATGCAGAGAAACTATAGACGATTGTGCGCATAATTTGACTGTCCTAGAATATAAAATCTCAGGTTGAAATGGCTGAAAAATAGATCCCATGACAAACTGGTGAAAATTGCAAAACTCGGCACTCGGAGTCTACAAGCTTATATCAGGGGAATTAGTAATTTCTTCGACTGGCTTCTATAGGGAGACTCGGATTCTTTCACAATTCTTTCTTTTGGAATCGATTTCAGACTATGTATGTATGTATATTAAGCAACAACATTGAAATCGAATAAATAATATGTATAATTGGGAACGTTTTATATTTTTCTTTAAAAATAAAACACATTTGATTTTTTTGCGTCGAAAGAAAACAATAAGAATCTTTATTTTCACACACATAAATTTTAAACGTACAAACTATCAGTCATACAAATTACAATGTTTTTTTTTTATCTTAAATTTAATAAATGTTTATTTTTCTTTTTAATATTAGTTTAAGTTTCTGAAAATTAAATCACTTTAACAAGTACTGAAAAAACAGGATGAGTTTTTATTTGTTTGTAATTTTATAGATATAATAAAAAATTGAATATTTACTTTTACTAATTTTAATACAACTACTACAAGAGAAAGATATGTGGGAGGGAGAGTGTTAGACAGGGAGAGAGATAGAGTTAAAGTTAGAAATTTAATGAATCCAATGGTTAATTAAGGAATATAGAAATTTATATATATTTTTTAAGATTTAAACACTGTCTTTTTTTGTTAGATTAAAAATTAATTATGATAAAACAATCACAACTAAAAACACACACAGAGTCATACAAAACTATGTAGTTGAGCTACAATGAAAACAAAATACACGCGAATTCATACGAACTATGATTTTTTTCTAATATTCTAACTACTAATGATAAACTGAAGGAAAGTTAGTTTATTTATCTAAAATTTGAAATAGACTTTAAGAATTTTTAGTTGAAGACGCTGTCAAATGCAAAATGAAATATGTAAACAATTTCTTTATATAAAATTGTTGTTTTTTTATGTTTAAGTTAGTCCTTTATTATTTATTGGTAGTTAGTTAGTTAATTCGTTGCTATTGTTGTTTTTTGTTTTGTAATTTTATATTCAGTCATTTAAATGTCAAGTTTTTAACCATTGTTTTGGTCCGTTAAGTTGTAATTTTAATTATTATTTTTTTTGTTTTGCAATTATTTAAGTCTTTCGTATTTTTATTGTATTTGTTATGTCTGCTGTCATGTTAACACACATACATACGTACGCACACATACATAACACACACATACAAACATACTATAGATTCGTATTATATACTATATTAATATTAATAAGAAGATTCATAAAATCATTCATATTATTATCAGTTATGTTTTAGAAGATTCATAAAATACTCATACGTTTTTTTTTTAAATTCTTTTTAGTAATACTACACACATGGAATGATCAGCACCCGCACTTATGATTTTTTAACAAGCATCATTACTCATCAATATCATTATCATCATTTATACTTAATTTTAATTGAAAATTAAATTATAATTTGCACAATCTCTCACACGTTCAGTTTTGCATAAGTGTATAGGTACATCATTTTTGTTTTTATTTATTTTTTTTTTAATTTTTGTGTTTTAAAGTTTTAGATGAATGAAACCAATCACCAATATATTACCATTATCATCATCATTCAGCCCCTTCATTCATTCAACTTTTAATTTTAAGAAAGAATAGTTTTTTTTTTATAATGAGTTTCAAATTCATCAAAATCACATTCGTCACACTCACATTAATGAAAAATGAATACAACATTCTTTCAGACACCTGCAAAATGTAAAAGTTTAATAAGTCATTTTTGCAAATAGTTTTTTTAAGTTGTGTCAAGGTAATAATAATAAAATGTTACTTATTTTGCAACTCTGAAGTTTGAGAACTTAATTATACCCTTCACCTTCGTGAGAAGGGTATATATAAGTTTGTCATTCCGTTTGTAATTTCTACAATATAATTTTCCGACCCTATAAAGTATATATATTCCGAGTCCTTATAGATAGCGGAGTCGATTAAGCTATGTCCGTCTGTCTGTCTGTGTGTTTGTTGAAATCAATTTTCTGATGACCCTAGATATCTTCGGGATCCAAATCTTCAATAGATCCAAATCTTCAATAGTTGGACATACTTTCGAGAAGTTTCCTATTGAAAATCAGCAAAATCGGTCCATAAATAACGGAGATATGAGCAAAAATCCGAGACAACCTCTGAAAATTTCATCAAAAAAGCAACAACAACACTGCTTATTGTATAAAAGGTTGGTTTCATTGCGATGTGTGTTTTGTTTTTGTTTTTTTTGTGTATGTATTTCGTTTCATATGTTTGGATGGCTGTGGCTTCATCGCCTTGTGTATTTTGTTTTTGTTTTTTTTTGTGTATATTGTTTCTAATGTTTGGATGGCTGTGGTTTCATTACGTTGTGTATTTTGTTTTTTCTGTTTTTTATTTCGTTTAGCATTGTTGTTGTTTCTCTTGTTTTGCTTAAGTTATGACAGGGTCGGGAAGATGAAATAAATTGACATTTTATAAAATTAATATTTTTTAAGCACATTATGGTGAAGGGTATTCGGCAAAGGCGAATATAGACTTCTTACTTGTTTTAAATTAATTTTGGACTGTTAGAACCAGTTGTTTTATCAAGAGCTGAAAGCAGCTCTTTTCATTAGTGAGTTTTCTTGGAAACTGTCGCCTTAGAAACTAGTTTTGCGAATTCTTTAGAGAAACAAATACTCTTTCGTTATTTGGAACAGCTTTAAACTATATAGAACATGTTAAGCACCAGTCACAATCTTTGTCGAGCTAGTTCTAAAGAAGCTAAAAGTTGATAGAATGGTTCTTTTGTGAATAAGTTTTGTCGAAATTATTACCTTAGGAACTGGTTCTATGGAATCTTTAGAAAATCAAATACTTGTTATTTAAAAGAGTTTTAAACTAGATATTTCTTCATTAATACATATTTCTTACATTTTTGTTGCTGTAGAATGTTCGTTGTAAAGAATATTATAGGATTTAGTTCTTCCATCAATGTTTTCGATTCAAAATTTGTCATACTCGAAATTAGTTTATCATTTCAAAACAAATACGAAATCATTAAAGAATAAAATGCCTCTACTCATTCTAGTTTAGCTAATTCGGGACTGATTCTGTAGGAGTGCTTTAAAGTCAACAGATTGATTCTGGATCAAGTTCTTTTATCAATAATTTTTGTTCAAAATAGTCACCTTCGAAACTGTTTTGTTAAAAACTTTTAAAATCTCAACTATTTTTAAATAAAGTTTAGAGAACAAATACACGTTATTAGAAACAGTTTTAAACTAGATCTTCTTGGATATTTTGTTTTAGTTCGGTGTTAAGGCCAATGATTTTTGGTCGAAATAGACAAATTTGGAATTGTTGCTATAAAAACGTTCGGTTAACACAAACATCCTGTTATGTGGACTGCATATTTTCTTTTATTAATCAATCAAAATTCACGACGCAGACGATTTGTTTTAAATATTTCACCACATTCTAATTAGAATCAAAGTTGCAAAATAAATAAATATTCTATATTACTAAATTATATGAAAAAAAAGGCAAAAAAAAACTTACATTCAAACAGGGATACTGCTTTACATGTACGTAGAGTAGGTTTTCCATTAGCAGCTTGAATTATTTCTCTTTCGACATTTTTATATAATTAGTATTATGTAGTAAGTAGATTATTTAAAACTGTAAATAGAAATTTCAAAAATGACATGCACACACATAATGTTTTTTTTGTTCACACTCGTAATTATCATTATCATATCATCATCAGCAACGTTCTCACAACAAACCATCATCATATCATTTCTTCATACTACGGCATAAAAACATACATGAAACTTGTATTTATTATAACGACTTTAAAGAAAAACTTTTACAAATTTGAAAAAAAAAAAAAAAAAACGGATGAAAAAACGTTTAATTCAATTTTAAAAATTTCCTACAAAATATAAATTTTAGTTTTGCGACTAATAATTTCTTTTTGAAACGTTCTTCTAAATTTGTCTCTCAAAATTCGATGTTATTTCAAAAAAGGTTTCCGTATTCAGCAAAATCTGATTTAAAATTCCTATATCTCATAGACTCATTTTGCATAGTTTTGTAAAAGTTTTCCTTTGAAGCCGTTTATGATGTACTCAATACCTAAATGTTTTAGTTATTATTTTATATTATTACTGTGGGTAAAAGATCTTAAACGGTTGTGTTCTTTTTTTTTAATTTTATAAAAATTTCATTACATTTATTTAATTTTTGTTTAGTTTTCGTTATTGTTTTTGTTATAGTGTTCAAAGTAGTGTTTTTTTTTTGTTCGTTAAACGTCGCGTGAGTTTGTACGTAAGTATTGAAAGTTGTAATTGTTTTATTTTGAATGGCAATAAGTGTTTAAAGATTTGGGAATATTATTAGAAAATTATACGAAAAAAAAAAACTATAACAAATTGAAAGAAAAAGTTTAATTTTACAAAAAAAGTTTACTGAAGTTCAAATTTGAATTTTCGAAGGAAAACTATTTGTTCATATATTATTGAAAATTTGGATTCCGAGATATCTGGTGCTTTCAAAAACTAGAACAGAACTAGAACTGAACTAGAATTGAACTAGAATTGAACTAGAATTGAACTAGAATTGAACTAGAACTGAACTAGAACTGAACTAGAACTGAACTAGAACTGAACTAGAACTGAACTAGAACTGAACTAAACCTGAACTAAAACTGAACTAGAGTAGAACTAGAACAGAACTAGAACAGAACTAGAACTGAACGAGAACTGAACTAGAACTGAACTAGAACTGAACTAGAACTGAACTAGAACTGAACTAGAACTGAACGAGAACTGAACTAGAACTGAACTAGAACTGAACTAGAACTGAACTAGAACTGAACGAGAACTGAACTAGAACTGAACTAGAACTGAACTAGAACTGAACTAGAACTGAACTAGAACTGAACTAGAACTGAACTAGAACTGAACTAGAACTGAACTAGAACTGAACTAGAACTGAACTAGAACTGAACTAGAACTGAACTAGAACTGAACTAGAACTGAACTAGAACTGAACTAGAACTGAACTAGAACTGAACTAGAACTGAACTAGAACTGAACTAGAACTGAACTAGAACTGAACTAGAACTGAACTAGAACTGAACTAGAACTGAACTAGAACTGAACTAGAACTGAACTAGAACTGAACTAGAACTGAACTAGAACTGAACTAGAACTGAACTAGAACTGAACTAGAACTGACTAGAACTGAACTAGAACTGAACTAGAACTGAACTAGAACTGAACTAGAACTGAACTAGAACTGAACTAGAACTAGAACTAGAACTGAACTAGAACTGAACTAGAACTGAACTAGAACTGAACTGGATCTGAACTAGAACTGAACTAGAACTGAACTAGAACTGAACTAGAACTGAACTAGAACTGAACTAGAACTGAACTAAAACTGAACTAGAACTGAACTAAAACTGAACTAGAACTGAACTAGAACAGAACTAGAACTAAACTACAACTGAACTAGAACAGAACTAGAACTGAACTAGAACTGAACTAAAACTGAACTAGAACTGAACTAGAACTGAACTAGAACTGAACTAGAACCGAACTAGAACTGAACTAGAACTGAACTAGAACTGAACTAGAACTGAACTAGAACTGAACTAGAACTGAACTAGAACTGAACTAGAACTGAACTAGAACTGAACTAGAACTGAACTAGAACTGAACTAGAACTGAACTAGAACTGAACTAGAACTGAACTAGAACTGAACTAGAACTGAACTAGAACTGAACTAGAACTGAACTAGAACTGAACTAGAACTGAACTAGAACTGAACTAGAACTGAACTAGAACTGAACTAGAACTGAACTAGAACTGAACTAGAACTGAACTAGAACTGAACTAGAACTGAACTAGAACTGAACTAGATCTGAACTAGAACTGAACTAGAACTGAACTAGAACTGAACTAGAACTGAACTAGAACTGAATTGGAACTGAAATAAAACTCTTCACGACTATTATAAAGCACCCAAATTTAGAAATGGTTTAATTTTCCCAGAAAAGAACTATTGAATTGTTACAAAAACAAATACACTCGTTATAAGGTGGATTATTTCTAAAAGTAACAGTTTAAGGCAAAAATATTTTTGCATTTATGGAAAAAAACTCCCAAAATCCTTAAACACTTGTTTTAAAAATGAAAAAAAAAAAATAAAATATTTCTGTAAAAAATGGTAATTGATTTTTGTAAATTGATTGTATATTCAAGATTGCTTGCTGATTTGTTTCGTATTTTCATTTACTATTATTAAAGATTGGCATTATAGAATTTGTTATTTTTTCTAGCAATTTATAAAGTAATAGGAGAATTTTAGAACTTAAAATAAAACGGAAAATTAAAAACACTTTTAAATATTAAAACTATTTATCTTATCGGTTGTTGTTGTGGTTTAATGTATAAGCGCATCGCGCAACTCTCTTGCTAATTAACAAGAAAAGTAAAATAGTCTGGAGGTACGAAATTAAGTTATTCCATAACGATTTAAAAACTCAATCTCAAAATTAAAATGGAGAATACGTTTGTTTATTCATGAATCTATTACTTTTCTTATTAACTGCTAATAGCTGTTATAGTTTTCGAAATTGTAATTTGCCTTTTAAATGTCTATTTTAATGTATTGTATATGTAGTTTTTTATATTTGTAGGCTTAATAAATGTTTACTTAATATAATTATAACAACATAAAAATTAGTTGTAAAATTGCATTATTTGTTATTTTTTTTTTTATTCAATAGTGTTTCTTTTTCTTTGTATGATGTATAATAATAATTAATAAACATTTTGGTTTTTTGTTTTTGTCCCTTAAAGTGTAAAAAAGTTGTATAAATTCCGTGTGTTATATGTTTAAACGTTTACGTTTTGTTTTCATTTATAATTATCTAAATTCTAAATTTGTACGAGGCATTAAGTCGTCATTTAAGTCATTTTGTTTGTTTCTAGTTTTATTATTTTTTCATTTCTTGTTTAGTTTCGTTACGTTAAGTCGTGTTTTTTTTTTTTTTTTAAATTTGTTTAATTTCATTTATAATTTAATAATTTCAGTTTCACTAGAGTATATTAATTCATTTGGCGAATTTCAAATCCGTTTAAAATCCTTTATTGTTGTTGTTTTTGTTTAAGTTATATTTTGAGCTAGTTTTTTTTTTTAGTTTTAACTATACCTAAACTTATATTCTAAACTTACAATTAATATCACACAAGCACGCACGCGCGCATAATAAGTCTTCAATCAGAAATCAATAGAAATCATATAAAAATCATTATTAATAAAATCGTACACACACAAAAAATAAAAATAGTATTTAAGGCGGCGGACAATAAGACTTAGTTTTGGACAAGACACACGATTATTTTTTGTTTTTATAAATTTTATTATTCAAGGAAGTTTTTTTCTATTAGTTTTGGTTTAAATAAATTTGTTTTTTACCAATTTAGTTACAAGTTTGTTTTTATTAATTTTTCTAGAGTGGTCCATATTTGTGTACCAATAACTTTTTCTTATGGATCTAAAAAATGCGGTATGAAAAGGTTTAAATAATTCTTCAATTTATTTCCAAAATTTTTAAATTGCTTTTACTTGAATTGGAAAGTTAAAGTTGGTTTCAATTTAGATTTTGTTTACATTTATAACAGGATTTCGAACCTTTTTTTGTGGACCGAATAGTGTGAAATCTTTAATGATTCTGTTTAAGAAAATGCTATAATTTGGAATTGTTGTGCTGGGGAAGTATTCCGCAGTCATTCCAAGAGCATTATAGGAACCAGTTCTTTCATCGATTCAAATTTGTCATGTTCTAGGTATTCATTTGAAAACAAATATGCAATCGTTAAAGAACAACTAGCCCGTACTCGTTCTAGTTTGGTTACTTCGGGACTGTTGCAGTAAAAGTGTTAACAGATTGATTCTGGACCGAGTTCTTTCGTCAATGATTTTTGAACTTGAAGCATTTGGAGTTGTTGCTGTAAAAGCTGTTTGTGTAAACAGAATGATCCGGAACTAGTAACAGTTAAGAATTAGAAAGCAAAGTTTGGCGTAGAGACGAATAATTTTTGTTTCATTTATTTCATAAAAAGATTCTGAAACCAGTTCTTTCATTAACGATTTGGGTTTGAAGTGATTACTACCGCAGAACTAGTTTTAGGAAATGTTTAAAGAACAAAAAATATGTTTTTACGAGCTTTTCGAAAACTTTTCGAATTTTTAAAAATATAATTTAAATTTTTTTTTACAAAATTTTAGAGAATTCGAACTTATGTTCGAAAAAATGTGTGCTTAAATTCGAAAGTTCGAACTTATGTATGTTCGAAAAATCGAAAAAAATATTATTTTAAATTTTTACCAAATTTTGGAAAATTCTAACTTATGTTCGAAAAAATTTTCTGCTTAAATTCGAAAATTCGAACTTATGTTCGAAAGCTGTTGACGTAATCTTAAAATTATCGTAATTATCGTAAAAATATACTTTTGAAGACAATTTTTCACATTTTTGAATTTTGAACAAACAAATTTTGTAAATTCAACTAAAATTATAGAAAAAAATTTCAAACCTAAATTTTGACCACTTTTTGTGTTAATTAAAAACAAACTGTAACATTGTAAGGCCTTCAGAAAGAATTTCAATTTGCATAAAATACTTTCACACACACACACACAATCGCATTCACACAAAACACACTATTATATAGCACAAAATCACACTTAAAACTATTAGGATTCACAGCTCCTTTCATACAAACACACACGTACATACCACTCACAAAGAGGCATACAGGATTTATTTATTCAATGCAATTCATTTAATTTTTAAAAAAAACATTCACACAAAGTGAAATAAAAATGTTTTATTTTTTGTTTTAAATTAAAAGAGTGTTCAACTGGTTAATAAATTTTAGAAAATGGTTTTTAGATTTCAATAAGAAAATTGTTGTTTAACCAATTTGCTTGCAGCATTCACTCTTTCTATTAAAAAATAAAATGATTTGATATTAAACTAAAATAAGAAACTTAGAATCTAGTTTTTTTTTGTTAATATAGGGGCGAGCAACAATTTTTTTTAATGAAGTCTAAAATAAAATAGTTTGTTTATCAAATAATTTAATGAAAAATTATTAATTTATTTTTTTGTAATTAAATTAATAATTATAGATTATTGTGGTGTAAATGTATAATGAAGATGGGTGGACAGACAGGCAATGATAATTAAATAGTAATAATCATTGACATTTTCTTTAATTGCTTTAAATTCAAAATATAGAAAAGAAAAAATAGTATATTATTCAATATGAAAAGAATTTAATTTTTGTTTCTTTTGGTAGAAAATTAATAAATATGTATTGTAAAATGAAAGGTTATAACGGAACTATAAAGAAAAATACCTTTTGTTTTTAGTAAACATTAATAGCATAAAAAATGTCAATAGAATGAAACTAATGTATAAAAGAAAAAATTAACAAAAAATCGTATTTAAATTAGAAAATAAAAAAGGTGCTTTTTTACATTAAAAATTTCTATTTTTTTTTAAAGTTGGTGGACAATTTTATATCATATTTTTAAGTTGGTGGACATTTTTAAACCATATTTTTATACAGAAATTTATAGGAAAAAAATTAGAAAAAAGAAAACAATGAATGCACCTTTTCTTAAAAAAAAAAAACAAATTTTGGTAGAAGCTGGAGTTTTTTTACCTTAATTAAAACAAATATTGAAGCAATTTACAGTTTGAACCTGAAATAGAAATAAAATTAAAAATTGTGAATAAAATTAACAAAATAAATGGATTCATAAAAATATTCCTAAAGTCTTGCTTATGTACTTCAAAAAAAATACTTTCATTTTCAAACTTGAATATTTTAAAAAAAATTTCATTATTTTTTTTTTCGGTCTATAGTCAAGTCTAAAGTCTAGTCTATAGTCTAGTCTATAGTCTAGTCTATAGTCTAGTCTATAGTCTAGTCTATAGTCTAGTCTATAGTCTAGTCTAGTCTAGTCTATAGTCTAGTCTATAGTCTAGTCTATAGTCTAGTCTATAGTCTAGTCTATAGTCTAGTCTATAGTCTAGTCTATAGTCTAGTCTATAGTCTAGTCTATAGTCTAGTCTATAGTCTAGTCTATAGTCTAGTCTATAGTCTAGTCTATAGTCTAGTCTATAGTCTAGTCTATAGTCTAGTCTATAGTCTAGTCTATAGTCTAGTCTATAGTCTAGTCTATAGTCTAGTCTATAGTCTAGTCTATAGTCTAGTCTATAGTCTAGTCTATAGTCTAGTCTATAGTCTAGTCTATAGTCTAGTCTATAGTCTAGTCTATAGTCTAGTCTATAGTCTAGTCTATAGTCTAGTCTATAGTCTAGTCTATAGTCTAGTCTATAGTCTAGTCTATAGTCTAGTCTATAGTCTAGTCTATAGTCTAGTCTATAGTCTAGTCTATAGTCTAGTCTATAGTCTAGTCTATAGTCTAGTCTATAGTCTAGTCTATAGTCTAGTCTATAGTCTAGTCTATAGTCTAGTCTATAGTCTAGTCTATAGTCTAGTCTATAGTCTAGTCTATAGTCTAGTCTATAGTCTAGTCTATAGTCTAGTCTATAGTCTAGTCTATAGTCTAGTCTATAGTCTAGTCTATAGTCTAGTCTATAGTCTAGTCTATAGTCTAGTCTATAGTCTAGTCTATAGTCTAGTCTATAGTCTAGTCTATAGTCTAGTCTATAGTCTAGTCTATAGTCTAGTCTATAGTCTAGTCTATAGTCTAGTCTATAGTCTAGTCTATAGTCTAGTCCTAGTCTAGTCTAGTCTAGTCTATAGTCCAGTCTAGTCTATAGTCTAGTCTATAGTCCAGTCTAGTCTATAGTCTAGTCTATAGTCTAGTCTATAGTCTAGTCTATAGTCTAGTCTATAGTCTAGTCTATAGTCCAGTCTAGTCTATAGTCTAGTCTATAGTCTATAGTCTAGTCTATAGTCCAGTCTAGTCTATAGTCTAGTCTATAGTCCAGTCTAGTCTATAGTCTAGTCTATAGTCTAGTCTATAGTCTAGTCTATAGTCTAGTCTATAGTCTAGTCTATAGTCTAGTCTATAGTCTAGTCTATAGTCTAGTCTATAGTCTAGTCTATAGTCTAGTCTATAGTCTAGTCTATAGTCTAGTCTAGTCGAGTCTATAGTCTAGTCTATAGTCTAGTCTATAGTCTAGTCTATAGTCTGGTCTATAGTCTAGTCTATAGTCTAGTCTATAGTCTAGTATATAGTCTAGTGTATAGTCTATTCTATAGTCTAGTCTATAGTCTAGTCTATAGTCTAGTCTATAGTCTAGTCTATAGTCTAGTCTATAGTCTAGTCTATAGTCTATTCTATAGTCTAGTCTATAGTCTAGTCTATAGTCTATTCTATAGTCTAGTCTATAGTCTAGTATATAGTCTAGTCTATAGTCTAGTCTATAGTCTAGTCTATAGTCTAGTCTATAGTCTAGTCTAGTCTATAGTCTAGTCTAGTCTATAGTCTAGTCTATAGTCTATTCTATAGTCTAGTCTATAGTCTAGTCTATAGTCTAGTCTTGTAAAATTATTTTTTATAATTTTCATTTTCGAAATTAAATATTTCGAATAACCTAACCTAACTTATGTTCGAAAAATTTTAAAGCTGTTAAATTATCTCTAAACTTAAAAATTCATAAAAAACATAATTATAGTTTTATTTAAGGTGAGTTTCTACCATTTTATAATTTTGATCCAAAAAGTTTTGAAAATTTGAAATTCGGAATATACATAATTCGTATTTTAGAATACATATATTTTTGTATGGAAGTAATTGATTGTTACATCAATAATGTATTTCTTTTGCCGGGCCTATACATTTCCCGGGAAAATGGGTTTCGTTTTGAAATTTCCCGGGATTCCGGGAATTCCCGCCTAGAAAATATAAGTACATTTTGCGAATATTTCCGCCATTTAAATACGTATTCGTATTATTTTTATGATATTTATAGTTATATACGCATAAAAAGCCTATAAAAATTATATAAAAAAGAGGTAAAGATACAGGATTTCTAATGTTATGTACAAGCCTGAAAGTATACCACTGGGCTCTGTCAATATATGTAAATCTTTAGATTTCACTGCTCTTTTACCCCAAGAACAAACCCTATTGAAAATTTTTTTATATGAAACCATTATTTTACCGACCCATAAATAACCGAACCTGACTATTTGGACTTTTTAGCAAATAATTATACATATATGTATGTTAAATATACTACTTAACTATCTCTTACAAAAACGGCAAATTCCAGAAAATCAGTTTTCACCAATAAATTGCTTAAAAATAGTAATATTAATTTGTTTCGTAGTATTTAGCACCTTTTTATATACACATCTTCTCTAGATTTAACAATTCAAATCAATATATTTATTATTGTAGGAAATGAGATTACATAAAAAAATATTTAAAAAAAATATAGTTTTCCACTTACCACTTATAGTTGAGACATAATTAAAAGAAGAATTGAATAAAATTTAAAACTCCTGTAAACACCATTTTATAGTTTAGACACAATTGAAAAAAACAGTATGAAAATTGATGGAAATTCAAAAGCGCTCCCTATATATAGAAATTAAAAATGTAGAATACGTTGATTTACTGAGCTATTGTTTGATGATCACGCAATTTTTTAATTTCCTTAGTAGCCCAGTTGCAGAGAGATTTTGTCCGGGAGGCTTTTGAACGTTTGCCTTCGGCAAGGAATTGTGTAATGGTAACATCATCAACGAATGTTAGGAGACGTGGACCAAAGGCTGTGCACAAATCACCAATGAAACCAGCAGCACTGGCGACCATTGAATCGGAGTTATCACCCTCAACGGCGATACGTTTAATAAATAGAATGATATGGCCAAGGTGTGGTTCCAAATGATAAACATCTTGATTTGGTGTTTGTTCTACACCCTTGAGACCCTGTATAATGCCAGTGTAGGCTTCTAAAACACTTTCACGCAATTCGTTGAGGTACTCAACCATATCATAACTGTTGGGATCAACCTGGAAAGAAACAAACAAGCATTTAATATATATTTATTACACAGTTACAATTTAAAAGTTATTCCCGGGATTTATGAACTTTTCCCCCCGACTTTGGTTTAAAAACAAAACGAACTTACCTCCAACTGTGAAGCAGCTCTTAATAATTCCAAAACAACATTTAAATATTTTACAAATTCACCACCAATACTGAGTGCCAAATCGCCAAAAGCTGATAAGATTGCTGGCTTAACACTACGATGTAAAGTGGGCTCCGACAAATTGGCCAACAATAGAGACATGATTTCATCACAATAGGGTATAATAAGTTGTTTCAGAGCACGCGAAATATCGCCTGTAAGACCAACAGCAGCACAACAGACTTGATATTCTTGATGATTTTTCAAACCCATATACAGGAAAGGCTTAAAAGCATCCATATATTTAACGAATTTCAAGCCCAACAACTCGACCAAAGTAGATACGGCCAAAAATGCATCTTCTTGTACACCACCCGATTTACCCGAACATGAATTGAACATGGTAAGCAAAGCATTCATAATAGCATCGGATATTTGAGGAGCATCATCTTCGCGTACCTTGCGCAATACACTCTGCAAGGTGGCGCACAACAATGATTGCAAATCATTGAATTGGTGACGATCATTATGACTGGCAATGTGGGATTCCATTTGCAAGACTTGATTGAGACGTTCTAAAATGACAATAGTTGTTCTCTGTACAATCAAATAACAATCCAAGGGTGAGTTTTTAATCATATCCATAAGAGCTTCATAAGCAGCGGCACGTAAATTGCCTTGATTGGCATCTTGACGGTCCGTTGTCTCCAACAATTGTGTAATGATGTATTCAAAGTAGGGCGAAAGACAATAGGTTTCAGGTGTTTCGCCGTCAGTGACTTCAGCAGCCTCATAAGCAGCATCAGATAAGCCAATAAAGGCCCAACAAACATTGGCAGCTACACGGGGCTCGGCTTTAAGACTTTGTATGAAACATTCCAATAGAGGTTGCAAATAGGTTTTGTTAATAGCAGCTTCAGGAATTATCTAGAATATATTAAAATTGTTATGATAATTATAATTTTATTGCTTCTTAGCAGTTTATACTTACATCACAAATACGACCAAAAGTCCAAGCAGTAGTATCTCTTACAATAACGCTCTGATCGTACATTAAGCGTATCAATGTGGGCATGGCTTGTTCCACCAACGATTTAAGAGTATTATTTTCTATACCACTTAAAATTGAACCGAAAGCCATGACAGCGGCATCACGGAAACGCCAATTTGGTGAAACAATATTATCCTTGATGAAGGGGAATACATGAGGTACGATTTCATCTTCACAACAAGTGGCCAGCAACATAAGGCAAACCGATGCTGCTTTCGATGGACTCCAGATATCTTCATCATCATTTTCATCTTGTTTAGTTAGTTTTTCCACCAATACGGGCACCAAAAACTGGAGAGCACCACGAGCATAGTGTTTCGAAACACGTGTGGGAGCACGACCAGCATCATTTGCTTCTTGATTCTCAATGGCCAAATCGATTTCTTCATCGCTAACGTTCGACCAGAATTCAACACCTTGCAATGCAATCAAATCATTGTCTGACTTCATGGCCTCCAATGTAATGGGAAACAGGGCTTGTGCCATATATGGTTCCATATATTGATAATATAGGGTCATTATTTTGACCAAACACTGTAAGGCGGCTACACAAACTTGGGTATCGGGCGATTGGGTAGCCTCGCATACCACCTCCATAATATAGTTACGTTCTACATCCTTCTCGAAATTGGCTTTGGTAAATTCCAAAGAATTCAATAATGCTGTGGTGGCTGCTAAACGTACATGATTACTGGGCTCCTGTTTGCGCATACCATGGACAATAGCGGTTAAAATTTGATTCGACTGGTTTTCCAAAACACCATAACGTATTTCTTGACATATATAACCGATAGCTTCCAAGGCAGCCTCACGATCCATTTCGCTGGAACCCTCAGTGACCACTTTATTGACAAGGGTTTGTATTAAGATACCCCAACGATTGATGGGTAATTCTGTGATGGCCACATAGGCAACACACTGAGCAGCACAAGAGGGTCGAGTATTCTCTGTACCCAAAGCTCCGAGAATCTGTAATGTTCGATATTAAGTTTTCATTGGATTTTGTAAACTTTAAGTTACTTACATTCTTCTTAATGTACTCCTTTGTGTCTTCTGGAAATTGATGCCATCTTTGTTGGTATTGCAAATTGATGGTCTCATCTTTACTGGTCAAATGATTTTTCAATTGCAGACCAGCTGCCATACGAGCCACAGGGCTATTGCTAACGGTGACCAGTATATCTGAGAGAGCTTTCAGAAACTCGGGTAAATTATTTTCAGCGGCTTGTTCCAAAAAGTTTTTCGCCGACAACAGTTCATTTTTGTCTGAAAATTTTTATAAATGGAGTAATTTCAAATTTTTCAAACACTTTTTCTTCAAAAATAAATTAATGAGAAAAAAAGGCAAAAGAAAACTTAATCTTAAAACTTATTCTACCAAATAAAATAAGCAATTGATTCTATTTAATGAGTGAAACAGACAGATAATGTGCACCTATTGCCTCTAATTCCTAAAACTCCCGTAAAAATCGGTTATTGGAAAAAAGCTACCAAAAGTGCTGATTCCATTACTTACGCCTCGAGCTTTGGTTATAGACACTTTATAGTTCATCTCGGAAACTTTTGAAGAAAGCCCTATGAGTATTCCGAATACTTCATTCTGCTGACCTGACAATCCCAACTACTTAAGATTCCTTAGAAACTGCGAGAACCATTATTTTGATTTTTAAATACTTCTATACGACTATATAGGCATTGAACATCAGTTATACATAAATTAATATGGTCTTGCTACTACCCATTTAAAAAGCAATTTGCGATCCGTTTTTTAAAGTAGTTTGAATGTTAATTAACCTCAAAACGAGAAATATGCAAGATTTAAATTCTACCCCAATGTAATTTATTTAACAAGTCGTCCCTTCCTAAGGGTCATTCTATATACATATGTTTGTGTTGCATAAGAAATTCATAAACTTGGTTTTCTGATAAAATTCATCTTAAAGTTTCAGTTATTTTAAAATTTAAAGCACTTTTATTAATCAACACACAAGAACCTAAAACTACCCCTCTTGTTGAGCATACGAAATAAGCAACTGTGAGAAAAGGAAACAACAAAATGCAAAAAAATAAACAACAACAAATAAGCTGCCTTGGCGGCCCTAGGTTAAATAACGCGCTTGCTTTTTTACCATTTTTTATCTACTTTTTGTGTACAAAAAAAAAAAAAAAGAAAGAAAAATTTCACACAAACAAATGCACTCATACAATTGGAAAAAATAAAATTAAACATATACAGTGCCTCTCATAAGTATTCGAATTTAGGTAAACTATGAAAAAAACCATATTTAATAATATATTTTGTGTGGAAAATAAATAAATTAATTGGTTATATTGTCTAGATAGTCCTTAGATTTGATATCACGCCCCTTAAAACTTGAAAACGTTACATTTACTTAAATTAGTTGTGCTTTTTTAAAAAAAAGTCCATGAAACTACTTCACAAAAGTATACGAATTTTTCCTGTTTGATCATATTATACGATACACAAATTCTAGAATCGCATGGTTTTATGCTTAATATTGTTTTAAGGGGTAACTATCAACCGCATGGATATATTTTTGACCCATTTGGTCCACAATTTTGGGGGATTTGTACCCTCTTTTCATGTAATATCATTAAAATGGCGATTTTTGGCTATATTTGTAATGATTTCACCCTTTTTCCAGAGATAAAACTAAAATTTAATATTGGAATTTAATAGAACCCATAGGGTATCTAAAAATAATATTTTTTGTTATAAGGATCTGTACTTAAACGTTCCAAGATGTATTTTTGGTATCGTTTTTCAGTTTCTAATTGAATTATCTGGATCATAAGTCCCTTTTCGTACCTCTAGGGACGATATTTTCCGACAAAGTTGTCTAGTGTATATTCATGTACATATTGGCACTAATATATTTTAAATTTTCAATATATTATAGCGGTATACAACCCCAAAACATGCCTTAATAAAACGTCATCCTATATAGTAGATTTCAGTTTTTACTACTCGTAACTTTCACGCTTATGTTGCCCGTTACAATAACACTGTAAGTCCAAAATTTTGGTTTTAATTTGATCATAGTAAATAATATTTAAACATATATCAATATTTTTGAGTTAGATCATAATGATATCGTGCCATGCAGCATGGAGGCCATTGGTATCTAAAAATAATGATTTTACTATTTTGAATGGTGTTTCTTCGAGGCATGTTTTGGAGTTGTACACTTCCACAACACATTGAAAACTTAAAATGTATAAAAGCTGATATCTAAAAGAATATATACCAGAAAACTTCCCCGAAAAATAGTTGATCCTAGTATTATAAAAATGGACTTAAGTTCCAATATATTGAATTAGCGACAGAAGAATGATCTGAATAATTTATCTTGGAACGTTTAAATACAGATTCTTGTAACAAAAAATATTATTTTTATATACCCCAAGGGGTCTTATAAGTCCCAATATCAAATTTTTGTTTTATCTCTGGAAATAAGGAGAAAAATTTACAATTATGGCCAAAAATCGCCATTTTAATGATATTACTTGAAAAAAGATACAAATTCCCCAAAATTGTGGACCAAATGGTCCAAAAATATATCCTTTCCGTGGATAGTAACCCCTTAAAACAATATTACGCATAAAAACCATTCGATTCTAAAATTTGTGTTGCGTATAATATGATCAAATATGAAATACAGGAAAAATTCGTATACTTTTGAGAGGCAATTTCATGGACTTTTTTTAAAAATCCATAATTAATTTAAGTCAATGCAAATTTTTCAAGTTTTAAAAAGCGTGATATCTAACATAACGCCTACCTAGACAATATAACAAATTAATTTATTTATTTTCCACACAAAATATATTATTAAACTTGGTTTCTTTTTATAGTTTACCCAAATTCGAATAATTATGAGAGACACTGTACAAGCGCCAAATGAGATTTATGACACATGGAACAAAAACAAAAAATTCCTTTTTTTCTGGAACATATTTCACCCATTAATGCAAAACTTAAAATATTAATTTAATTTTTTTTTCAACTTACCAGGCGAGACAGTCTTTTCCAAGATCTGTATTAACTGCAGGGTTATTTGTGAATTCATTATTAGTTTCGCAATTTACCGATGTAAAAACGTTTATTTGTTCTGTATATTATATAAAAAATAAACGAAAAATACAAAGTTTTTTATATTAAAAAGGTCCATCAATGTTTAAATAATTTTAGCATTACCTTTATTAAATTGATAATTTATTAATATTAGTTAATTTTTGCACAAACACACAAATTTAAAACCTGGCGTTGTTTGCTGCTGCTACTTGCGAATGATTCGTTTGTTCGTCAATGATGATTGATTTTTTTTACTTCTACTTTCGTACCTTCTTCTTTTTTCTTTACGCCACTGTCTGCCTCTTAGCTTTTTTTCTTTATATTGTTGTTGTATTCTTTTTTAATATTTCTTTTCTATTGTTCGCTGTTGTAGACTCGTTTTTTCTTGATTTTATATTATATACACTGTCACTTTGGTTGTATTTTACATTAATTTGTGCAATTTTCAATAGATTTTTGTTGCCGTCGTGTTGAAGAGAGCACAAATTATTTTAATAAATATATAATTTTTTAATTTAGATAGATATAAATTAATTTGTAACGTTTTTTAATAAATTGTCTACGAGCGTTGTTGGCCGGTTGCGAATTTGCTTCCACATGGAAGTTTGCGAAAAAAACGAATGACTATTTTAAGAAACTTCGGTAGAATAACGATTTTTTTACGCCGAGATACTTTAACGTCGTTGGTGACTGAAACTATGAATTTCGGCGACGGCTTGAAAAGTTTTCAGCTATGTTCTTTAAGTTTTTTTTAGTTTTATTTTTTAAAATACATATTAAAAATTTACACAAGTTTTTTAAATTTATAAAATAAAAAAAAATTTGTATCAGAAAGCACTAAGTAAGGTGAAATCATCAAGGCAGAAATTATTTAAAATTTTTCGAATGTTAGAATTTTAACTTAAAAAGCTTTTACATATATACATACATATGTATATTAAATTGTTAATGTTATTTTCGAAATTAAAGAAAATGGAAAATTGTAAAAAAGTTCTCTCAGGCAAGACTAAAATTATATCTTTTTGAATTCTTACAATATAGAAATTGTACCAATATTAGTACGAATTTCTACATTAAATATACTTAAAAATTATAGAAATTTTTATAGCCGTCTCAAGCGGAAAATTTGCGGTGGCTTTTAGATTTCTTCGACGGCTAGGCTTAGACGGCTTTGAGTCAAATTGACACAGATCTCTATTAGCATAACGATTTTTTGCGCTTTTCTTCATCTACACCTGCTGAGATGCCAGATTTATAGGGCGAAAAGTCTACACTATTTTTGAGCTTTTCTTCTTCAACAGCAGATATGATGCCAGGGGAAAATTCTACAACATAGAAAATTCTACAACTATAAAGCTCAGCTAAGTTTAGTTTAGCAATTTTCAAGGAATTTCGTTAACAATCAATCGCAAAATCGACGAAAGTTAAATGACCCATTCATTTCTGCAATAATAGGAATTTCATTAATAACAATGTGAATAATTTTGAAATTTTTTAATAATCAAAGTAAAACGTCTCAATCCTTTAGTTGCTATGTTATAAATTTGAAGACTATATATTAAATTACCTCGGTTATGTGTTCAATGTTTTTTCATTGCAAAATAGTTCTAAATTACAACCCAAGTAAGCGCTTTTTTAACTTTTGATTAGTAAATATTTTCCCATAAAATTGAGAATATATTTGGAAACATGATGGTGGCGATAGCCCTAGTCAGAAGACGAATTTTTGCATTCCATAAAAAATGTATGTAAGCTCATTGTCACTAGTGGTTGTGGTAGCAATTATAATCATGTTGATTTTTAGATCTACTAGTTACCCTGTTGTTTGGTATAAAAATCTGGCAATACTGTAAGATTATTCACTCTTCAATTTTTTTTTGTCATTCTATTATGTTCCGTTAGAATTTTGTTTTTGGGTTTTTTCAAAAACACGCCTGTGGCCAAACATCGCAAAGATTTTTAATTCTTTTTTCATACAAAACGAAAATCCAATATGTCCACCACCATAACATACAGTTTGGGATTAGAAGAGTTACACTCCAGAGAACAGCGATTATGGAAGTCAACAATAGGCGAGTTTATTGGAAATTTAATATTAAATTTTTTTGCGTGTGGCGCCTGCTCACAACCTGAAGATGGGACATTTAAGGCTTTAGCTTTTGGTCTAGGTGTCTTTATGGCCATAACCATTGTGGGTCATCTTAGTGGTGGGCATGTGAATCCGGCTGTTACCATAGCTATGCTCTTGACGGGTCGTGTAAGTCTTATTAGAAGTATTTTCTATATTGTTGCCCAGTGTTTAGGAGCTGCTGTGGCTACCAGTGCTGTGAAAGCCTTTCTTGATGAAGCCTATCACAATGGCTTGGGTCATACCAATTTAGCGGAAAACATATCCGAGTTACAGGGTTTAGGCATCGAATTCTTTTTGGGTCTGGTACTCGTCCTTACCGTTTTTGGTGCGTGTGATGCCAATAAACCCGACTCTCGTTACACGGCTCCCTTCGCCATAGGCATGTCGGTGACCTTAGGCCATTTGGGTACCATACGTTATACGGGTGCCAGTATGAATCCCGCTCGTACTTTTGGCACCGCCTATGCGACAAATAATTGGGATTCCCATTGGGTGTACTGGGCTGGTCCTATTTTGGGTGGTATTGCAGCAGCTTTAGTGTATACTCAAATTCTAGAAAAACCAGCAGAGATTCCAAAACCTCCCGAGGCTTCGGATAAATATCGTATACACGCTTATGAGAGAGAAATGAAAAAATTCGAAAAGGCTGGTGATTTTGCTTAGATATAGATGTAAATGTTTTGATTTATTAGAGTAATCGTTATTGTACGTTAAGTGTATTATAATTTTTGTATATTTTCAAGTTATGTAAATTTGTAATTTTTTTTTGTAAATCTTTAAACAAAAGTTAAAATAAAGGTATAAAATTTAAAATATTGAACTATGCTATTTATAGGTAATAATTTTTTAATGAAGCTAACTGCATCCGACTTTCTTTTTTTTTTTTTTATTTTTTCAACTTTAATTCGGTGAAATTCTACTTTTTCTACAAAAATTGGAATGCTCGAAAGTCGATTTGTAGAACGATATAAAGTTTAAAATTCACCGTTACCTTTATTTCAACAAAAACAGCAGTTACCACCTTGATCGAAATCGCCTTGCATGAAGGCGCTTTTATTTTTAAAACTTTTAACAACTTTTCGTTACAACACAAATTGGCAGCACTTACATTACTCATATTTTCGAACAATTTTTTTAAGATGAATTACTTATTCATCTTATTGTTGAAAAAATATTCTAATTTAAAAAAAAAAATAAATTGTTTTGTTATCCTATCAAAATATTTTCTTTCAAAATCCTGCTTTTAAATTACTCGGATACCGCTATTATTCAATATCATAGGACGCTCTTCTTCAAAACACAGCAGAAAACTTACGTCTTTAAGCCGCCGACGAAAAATTCTAGTTTCAGTCACCGTCGTTCCTAATGTTATTCGGCGCAGGTCTCTGTGTTGGTGACGTTTCTGACATGTATAGAATAGAAAAAAATAGTAATTTTTCAACGACGTTAAAACGAGTTTTTTTCTTATAAAGTAACAAATTTTAATTAACTTTAAGTAAAAGAAACAATAGAAAATCATACAACAACAATAATAATTAATTGGTATGTAAACAATTATTAAAATTTCATGAAGAAATTGATGATTAACACGTTTCTGTCTACGTAGACCAACAAAGAACAAAAATAATAAGTGGAAAGATAGAAGAAAGAAAAAAAGGCAAGACCAGAGAAGGGCAGGAATATAATTCGCAGAATTTCAACATAGTGTATGGATAAATATAATCATCAATAATATAATATTTGCTTTTTGTTTTTTTTTTGTTCACTGTGGAACGAAAAGCCAAATAAAACGTCATCAGAAGCATTGTAATTTATAAAAGTTTTGTATCTATAATTTTCGTTAAAAAATGTCTGGTTTGAGCCAGCAAAAGGGCTGGCGTAAGCCAAATATTTCACTGGCTATAGTGGGAATTAATTTACTGCTATTGCTGCAATCTATAGGTGTGAGTGAGCAGTTCTATTTACCGGGTTTGGCACCAGTTAACTATTGCATAAAATCGGATGCCTCCAGTAATTGTAAGGTAAGTTGATCAATCATTAAGGGGCTGCAATAAGAATATGTAATTTGTCTTGAATTTTTAATTGCTACTATTAAATGCATAATTTTTGTACATACTTTTGTTTAAAAAAAAACTGATAAGAACATTAGAAACTAAAAATGGTACCAAAAATTTAATTAAATAATAGTACATACATATATTTCTTATCTTGACAACATTTGTATGGTTGTTTGATTTGTCATAGCCATAGTTTTTATACCCTACATCACTTATGTAGGTAGGTGGGTAGTATGTCTTTATACAGATATTTGTAACGCACAATAAATATAGCAAAAACCTTGGGATCACTTCCTTGCTATGTAAATATTGAGTTTATTTTGAATAATGATATATATAAACCCTACATGCATAGTCAGGCAGTAGAAGAGAATATTACAGATTAAAATTTTTTCTTTTTAAAAAAATTACTTAATTCGCGAAATTTAAAGTTTCAGCTATATCGACCTCAAAGCGTTTTGATAAACATTTAATTTGGTGACCAAAAAAATATTTCTCTACAAACAAACCACAAACAGCTGTACAAATATACACTACAAACAGGGCTTTCTAAACGAAAAATGACATTTTGCAAGCCACTTGTGTAGCTTATATTGTATTTATTATTATTTGTGGATGTTTTAATTTACCTCTTCTAATTAATACCGTTCTCCATTTATTTCCAGTCTAATGTGACTCTTTACGTAAATCGTTTAAACACCGAGGAATCTGTTATTCCTTATGAATATCATCATTTCGATTTTTGTATTGGCAATGAAAATAATTCACCTGTGGAAAATCTCGGCCAAGTGGTATTTGGCGAACGTATACGTCCCGGTCCGTATAAGATTAATTTCTTAGAAGACATCGAATGTAAAGCGGTAAGTGTATATTTAAAAATGTATATTTTAATAGGAAATTTTTGGAAAATTTCATATTTTTATAGACAAATTTTCGAAAATTCCAATCACAATTTTTTCGAATAAAATTTTTTTTCGAAATTTTTAAATTCGAAAGAAAATTTTCCGAAAATTTTATATTTTTGTAAAAAAATTAGGTGAAAATTTCATATTTTTATAGAAAGTTTCATATTTTTATAGAAAAGTTCATATTTTCATGATTTTAAAGAAATTTTCGAAATTTTCATATTTATATGAAAAATTTTCAAAAAATTCGCATTTTTCTCTTTCTATCGAAAATAATTTAAAAATTACTATTGAAAATGTTCGAAAAATAAACTCGAAGATTAAATCTATAGATCTTAAGTATATATATTTAATTTTTCCTTATCTTTTCAGGTTTGTTCTAAACACTATATGGGCGGAGAATCTGACAGCGACAGACGTATGATGGTACTTAAAAAAGGCATCAGTTTAAATTATCAACATCATTGGATTGTTGATAATATGCCGGTTACTTGGTGTTATCCTCTGGAAAATAATAAACAATATTGTAGTACCGGTTTCCCCATGGGCTGTTTGGTGCGCAGTGATAGTGATGCTGGTTGTCTTATTAATCCCAACTATAATAGACGAGGTTTCTATTATCCCTTCAATCATGTTGATTTGAAAATTACCTATCACAGTGGCCAGACCGAAGAGTGGGGTGTGGGTTTCCGTGCCAATGGTGGTCGTATTATTTCAGTTAAAGTCACTCCCAGCTCTATTAATCATGTTGATCCCAATAAATTGGATTGTAAGAATACCGATCCATTGGCCATTAAAGGTAGTCCTTTGACACCCGGCGAAAAACTTTCCATCATTTATACCTACAGTGTGGAATTTGTACGCAATGATGCTGTTAAATGGTCCTCCAGATGGGATTACATTTTGGAATCTATGCCACACACCAATATTCAATGGTTCTCTATTCTAAACTCCCTGGTGATTGTTCTATTCCTTTCGGGTATGGTGGCCATGATTATGTTACGTACTCTGCATAAGGATATTGCTCGTTATAATCAAATGGAAAGTGGTGAAGATGCTCAAGAGGAATTCGGTTGGAAATTGGTACATGGTGATGTATTTCGTCCTCCACGTAAAGGAATGTTACTATCAGTATTTTTGGGTTCTGGTGTACAAGTTTTCTGTATGACTTTGATTACTTTGGCCTTTGCCTGTTTGGGTTTCTTGTCGCCAGCCAATCGTGGTGCTTTAATGACTTGTTCGATGGTATTGTATGTTGCCTTGGGTACCCCAGCGGGTTATGTATCAGCACGTATTTACAAGAGCTTTGGTGGCATCAAATGGAAGAGTAATGTTATTTTAACATCTATGCTGTGTCCAGGGTGAGTTAGAAATGTTGGATATCTTAGTTTTTTGTTGTATGCTAAATTTCTGTTTATATTTTGTTGTAGTATTGTCTTTGGCTTATTCTTCATTATGAATCTTGTTTTGTGGGGCGAGCAATCTTCTGGTGCTGTGCCATTTAGTACATTGATTGCCTTGTTGGCTTTGTGGTTTGGTGTCTCGGTACCATTGACTTTTGTTGGTGCCTACTTTGGTTTCCGTAAGAGGGTAAGTAATGCTAAATTTTTTAAATTTTTGAGAAATATTTTCTAATAGACTGGACTTAAAGTTTTACTAAAAAAATTATTTTTTCTATAGAAAATTTTCAGTAATTTCTCTTTTCTATAGAAATTTTCGGAAATTTCTCATTTCTATAGAAAGTTTTGGGAAATTTCTCTTTTCTATAAAAAATTTTGGGAAATCTATTCTATAGAAAACGTTCAGAAATTTCTCTATTCTATAGAAAATATTCGGAAATTTCTCTTTTCTATGGATTATTTTCGGAAATTTTCTTTTCTATAGAACATTTTCGTAAATTTCTCTTTTCTATAGAAAATTTTCGGAAATTTCTCTTTTCTATAGAAAATTTTCGGAAATTTCTCTTTTCTATAGAAAATTTTCGGAAATTTCTCTTTTCTATAGAAAATTTTCGGAAATTTCTCTTTTCTATAGAAAATTTTCGGAAATTTCTCTTTTCTATAGAAAATTTTCGGAAATTTCTCTTTTCTATAGAAAATTTTCGGAAATTTCTCTTTTCTATAGAAAATTTTCGGAAATTTCTCTTTTCTATAGAAAGTTTTGGGAAATTTCTCTTTTCTATAAAAAATTTTGGGAAATGTATTCTATAGAAAACGTTCAGAAATTTCTCTATTCTATAGAAAATATTCGGAAATTTCTCTTTTCTATGGATTATTTTCGGAAATTTTCTTTTCTATAGAACATTTTCGTAAATTTCTCTTTTCTATAGAAAATTTTCGGAAATTTCTCTTTTCTATAGAAAATTTTCGGAAATTTCTCTTTTCTATAGAAAATTTTCGGAAATTTCTCTTTTCTATAGAAAATTTTCGGAAATTTCTCTTTTCTATAGAAAATTTTCGGAAATTTCTCTTTTCTATAGAAAATTTTCGGAAATTTCTCTTTTCTATAGAAAATTTTCGGAAATTTCTCTTTTCTATAGAAAATTTCTCTTTTCTATAGAAAATTTTCGGAAATTTCTCTTTTCTATAGAAAATTTCTCTTTTCTATAGAAAATTTTCGGAAATTTCTCTTTTCTATAGAAAATTTTCGGAAATTTCTCTTTTCTATAGAAAATGTTCAGAAATTTCTCTTTTCTATAGAAAATGATCAGAAATTTCTCTATTCTATGGAAATTTTTCGGAAATTTCTCTATTCTATAGAAAATATTCGGAAATTTCTCTTTTCTATGGAATATTTTCGGAAATTTTCTTTTCTATAGATCATTTTCGGAAATTTCTCTTTTCTATAGAAAATTTTCG